CATTGCTAGTCCCTGCTGAGGTGAGCCTTTCTCCGGGGTGCCTGGAGGCCTCGCGGACACAGCTGATGGTCTTTGATTGTCGGGAGCCCGTACCACACCTGCCTCCTCTAGGGTGCCCGCCACAGTTACACCAGTTGACAACCTTGCTTGCGTTCCTGCCTGAGGAGGCCCTTTTACACACTTCAGTCCGTGGTATGCAACAGAGCGTGGAGTGTGTTTCTCCAGCGGGTGGCGGCAAGAAAAGCGGGTTTGAAAGGAGCCGGGAGTCGCGGTTTCGGGAGATGCTGCGGCCGGAGGAGAAGCCGCAGTTGGGCCGTGCTCACCGCGGGCGCTGGAGCTGGTTTGCCCCTAGCGGGACCTCTTCTGCAGACAAGCGATATATCTGCACATCTGCACAACCAGTATAGCTGCACATCTGCACAACCCATATATCTGCACATCTGCAGTATTTTAAGTAGAACAGGCAAACTACCTGTCAGCAAAGCTTCCATTTCGCTCTGCTTTCATCTTTGGTTTGAATTGTGTTCAGTTAATATATAGGACACCTGGGCATTAAACTTCACTTCTTAATCCTTTGTTATCCTGAGTTGGTATGTTGTTTGAGATAATAAATTTTGTTGGTAAGCATTGTTTTTCTGACTGCTTAGGAAATATAAAGCTGACTGAGCTGACTTAATGGCAAAGATGTTGGCTGATTTTAAAAGTGAGTTTTGTTCGCTTTGTTTTGGGGTTTTTTATTGGACGAAGAGCATTCAGTGTGGCAGCACCGTCCATATTCATTGGATTTTCCAGAAAGATTTGAGGGAATTCTAAAAAATAAGAGGCAACTTATGTTCTACAATGCATATTTACACAGTTACAGGTGAAATTCTTGAGAAATTGTCACACTTCCCAAAGCTATCACAACCCAGAGACTCAGGAACTATATAAAAATGAGCATAGTGAGTGCTCTGAATTCTCTTGCACTGAAAATCTTGTTTTACCTATCTTATTTGTGAGCCTTTTTGTTAGCTAACTGCCTTACTCTGACAAACCTGTTTCCCAAGCAGGATGAACTGATATGACACGTGAGCTATGGTGAAGCTGGCTTCACAGTGAAGTTGGCTTCCCTCACATCGTGAGTGTGCACAATGGAGGTGAATTAAGTGAAAGCAGAGCAGGAGCCTGAAGCACCATTCATCCAGCAGATGTGAAATGTGGATGTGGAAGGGTGCAGGGTGTTTTGCCAGTAGATTGGGAGTTAGTGGAGTAGGCTGAGGTTGTAAGCCCAGCTATGGGCTAAGGCCTTAAGGCTAACCTGCTAAGGGCCTGTCATCCGCACTGAGGGATGTTATGCTTCTACAAACTACAATATGTTTTTTAGGATTTTTTCAGCCAGCAAGTAAAAACTGCCTGTTGGATTGCCAGCTTGTTTCCATTGTACAAAGCTATTTTCTAAAGTAAGGTCATGGCCCTTTCCCACTTTTTTGAGGGAAGTACATTCCTTATAAGGTGTTGGTAAATAGACCTTGCTTTCTGACCTCCACTGAGGCTGCTCACAGAGAAGAAGTGTAATCTGACCCTCAATTTTAAGCTCTCCTTTAACTTTGAAAAATGCAGGAGGCTTATTTTTATTCAAGACAGGATAAAGAACTATTTTGGAGCCTTGAGGTCAGTCCCTGCTGAAAAGCACATACAGTGTCAGGTATAGTACCGATGTGCTAGCCCTCGTTAAAACTTATGCAATAATTAACTATTTTGATAATTTTCCCCCTTTTTTGTTACTTACTAGTTATTTGTAATTTATAATCCTGTTTTTGTAGTTTGGGAGGTTTTTTTACAAGAATTTAAATGTCAACAGCTCTGAAGCCTCTTCAGGGCTTCACTGTTTTCTCTGCTTGTAGGATTAACAGCAGATTAACTATGATTAGACCTTTTCTTGTTGTTCTGAGGTGGTGCTGGGTCATTTTCAGATCATCCATTCTCAGAATCAGGTAACGATTAGGTGCATTACACTAAGGAACTGTGTTTATACTGTGTCAAGTGCACCTCTGAACGTTCTTAACTAAAAAGGGAATTTAGCTGCACTCCCTAATGGGAGTGCCATCAGCAGGGACCTTTGTACTGTTCTATTCTGCGTAAAAGGAGAAAATAATCTAGAATCCAAACGGGTGAAAAATGGCTCTTCAAAGTCAGATTTCTTTGCTTAGTGTCTTGGTTTATGGTATAGCATTTGTCACTTGCGGAACAGAAGGTGAGATGCAAAATCTGTTGGTATTGCTGTTGGGGAAGCAACTGCACTGACAAGTTACAGTGTAGTGATTTTCAAAGGCAGCACATTTCCTGTAGTTTTGTTAGCAATCTGCAAAAGTATCCTAATTAGCTTGATGCAAAAGATACTGGGTTCGAGAGATGAAACCATTTCTACCTTTTTTCTTTAAAGGGTAGAAAGCAAAAACATTTTCAAATCATCAAAAATATTTTTAAGGTCTTGTTGGATGATAGCGTTAGAAAATCTTAATGATTTTGACAGTTGCTCTTTGGTCTGAAATTTATTTTTAAGCTTTATGCTCTCGCACAGTGACTAAACTAGGTCTCACTTAGCTCCAGTTGTCATTGGTAGAGCTAGCTAGGTGAGTGTTTGGCAGAAGGTGTCTGTCGTTTCACAAAAGCAAAGTGAAAACTGAACAAATTGAAAGGAATAAGCTGAAATCTTCTAAATTAAACAGCCAGTAAAAAATGCTTCCTTGAAAAATCTGTCTGATATGTATGAAGAGGAAATTTAATTTTTTTTTATTTTTACTTTTTTTTACCTGATGTGCTACTTAGGACAGAATGGTGCTGAGCCAGAAGTGACCATCGCACTTGGGCGACTCAAAGGGAGACAAACAAATGTGAAGGGGACAGACAGACTTGTGAATGTTTTCCTTGGGATTCCTTTTGCAAAACCTCCTGTTGGATCCTTGAGGTTTTCTCCACCCGAACCACCTGAACCCTGGAATTATCTGAGAGATGCAGTGTCTTACCCACCAGTGTGAGAGCCTTTCAGTTCATTTGTGTGTTTGTCAGTGTTGTGTTTCTTAGGGTATAGGGGTCTGTGTTCTGGTAAGGAGCTTATATCAACTGGTTTTGAATAAGCCACCAGTGCTGAAATGCTTCGTAAGAACTGTGGGACTGGGAACCACAGAGAATTCCTGCGAAATTCCTGTGTTTGGAAATCATGCTTTTTCATTATACTGGGCTAAAATAATGAATCTTTTTACGTATGAGTATAGAGCTGTGCATTTACAGGTTGCTTCTCCACCTGTATATATCACAAAGTTCAAGCACCTTGTGGACATTCAGTCTGTGGGGCAAAAGAAAGTGTGTTTTCTCTATCATTATTACATTGTTGCTATTACAGGTTTATTACTAATAGTCACACTTCTTCTCTTTTGTGAAGGTGTCCTCAAGATCTGTCCATGCTTAAAATAGCTGAAAAAAACTTTAAAGAAAAACACCTTCCATTCCGAACTTCCGAGGACTGTTTGTATCTAAGTGTTTACAGCCCTGCTGGTTCAAGCAAGAAGGACAAGTTGCCAGTACGTAAGCCCATTAAACAAACTTGTACGAAGTTTGCACCTAATGATAGCTCCTAAGACACTTAATTTCTTCTGAAAATGTGATGCTGCATTAGCAAGCCTAATATTATTATGTAAAGTTCAGTGTCCACCAGCCTAAAATTCATCTGCCATTGAGCTCTGGTGATTTCGAGTTCCTAATTCTCTGGATGTCTTCTTTTTTTTTTTCTAATGAAGCCTACCAAGCAATGTATAAAAGAGAATCTCACCCTTTTTTCTCTAAGGTAATGGTGTGGATCCATGGAGGCAATTTTATATTTGGTGGTGCTTCTAGATATGATGGTTCTGCACTATCAGCCTATGAGAATGTTGTGGTAGTCATAATTCAGTACAGACTTGGACTCCTTGGATTTCTCAGGTAAGATGACCCATTTCACTTTTTACAAAATGCTTCATGTAATGTTTAAAGCATGGGTAGTTTTGTTTTCTAAATCAGATGAACTTCCATACCAGCTTCCTGCTGCTGGTTGAAATGTATGTAGTCTTCTGACATCAGGGCCTAAGAACGTTAAGAAATGTACATGAATTCCATTCACATTGTCATTTGACTGTAGCCTGCTATCAGATCATTGTTGGGCTTGTTTGATTCTGGATAGGATGTTTGTTCTTGCCTTTACTTTCACCTGTTGGTGTGTAAAGCAAAAAATCTTACAGCCAAAAGGCCAGGAATCCGTTTTTGTGGAGGTGAATAAGCAGCAGAGGCAAGTAAGTCAGTGGGGCTTAGATCCGACTATGAAGGGCTTTAGGTCAGATCTTTCCTCGGCCATATGAGGCAGTTTGCACAATATGTAAATTGGTGAGATTTATTTTATTCTGGTGTTAGAAATGTTACTCTTCCTGAAGTCAGCTTATAATGCTTTTCTTTCAGTACTGGTGATGAACACGCTCGTGGGAACTGGGCTTTTTTGGATCAAGTAGCAGCTCTGCGGTGGATTCAAGAAAATATTGAACACTTTGGTGGAGATCCAGGATCTGTCACACTCTTTGGTGTATCTGCAGGATCTTGCTCCGTTTTTGCACATGTAGGCATGCCGCAGATACACTAAAAAGTCAAGTCTTTAAAAAAAATCTTCAAAACCTCAGCGTAACATTTCATGCTTAGTCTGATTTTGGAAAGTAAGATTAATGGCACATTGTGCTAAGTCTGGACATTTCCCCTGTAAGCACATAAAAATGTGTAATTCCCCACTGAATCCAGCAGTCCAATCAAGCATAAAGCTATGGGATAAGGACCTTAATGTAGAATAAATACTTTCTATTCTTCCCTTCTTGACAGGTTTTATCTCCTTTGTCTAAGGGTCTCTTTCATAAAGCGGTATCAGAGAGTGGAATATTAATCCACTCTGATAAAGATTTACTTCCTTCAACAGATCTTAAGGTAGGTTTTGGGGGATTTTTATTTGCATTTTAAAGTCTTCGTAATCTAAACAAGGGTATTTCTTTTATCTGGTAATTTGATTAAAAGAGAAAAAGGGAAAATATGATTGCATATTATGCACCAAAGTTGATAAAATTTATTCTCACAGCATACCTGTGAATAGATAGATTAGTACTAAGTAAATTTACCTTCTGATAGTATATTTTCAGTCTCATTTGATGTTGGAAATAGATTGCATAGTTATGTGATTATAATATTTGTGTGTTGACTTAGTATTTTTGGTTACACACATGCCAGGCGAGGCTTATGTCCCTTTCCAAGCACACTGTAACTTGTACAGTGACCATGAAATCTACTATGGCAAGTTTAATTAGGATCTAGAAGAGGCATTTAGTTTTAATTCTGCTATGGTGTTTATGGAAGGCCTTTATTTGAAGTAAATTAATTAAATTTAAAGAACCTCAAACTTTAACATTAATATTCTTCTCTGTAAGTACCTTTTTATTTCTCCTCCTGGAACGGCAGGTAGTGATAATGTAAATATCTCATAAATTGATTTTCTTAATTTTCTTTCCATATTATCTCTGCAGCAAAGTATGTTGTAGTATATATATACAACCAGTATACATTAACAGTATATATAACTATATATATTTACAGTATCTATTAACCGTGTGTAATAATCTTCTGCTTATGAATTCCTTAAATTTATAACATCATAGTTAATCGTTCCTGTCTTTATTAATAATTTTCAGAAAATTGCAAGTATATTTAAGTGTGAGACGAGCAGTTCACTCTCACTATTAAACTGCTTAAGGAACCAGGAAGCAGATGATATAGTCTTTAAAAGTACGGTAGGTAAAACTTTACTTAGTAACAGATTTTTTTTTTAATGGCGCACCTGCAAAGCTTTAGCTCAGCCTCTGACCAAAGTTCATTGCTGGCCTTTTCCAGAGTTGATTTTTCTTATCTTTTGTCAAAATACCCCCTAAATATTGAACTAATTTCACAAAATTTGTAATTTTTTCAGATTTAAAATTTTCAGTGAAGTGTCACAGCAGCTGTAAACTTGTGAACAAGACTTGGGCATATGTGTTTTGATGTTAGTTAGAAGCAGCACAGGATCAGGAAACCATTACATTACTCCATACCATGACCCAACCAGCCTTGCATTTTATACGTTTGTGCCAAACAGTAGATTTATGTTACAGTGGCTTTAGATATTAAGATTTCTTAAAGCCCTTTTTCGCACTTGGAACATTGAATGTGGACACTTTATTTCATGGTTTGAAGGAAAAATGGAAAATACTATTAACATGTGATTTGATCTTTTTTATTTCTCCTTCAGGACGTACCATTTCTACCCTTAGTTGTGGATGGAGTATTTCTTCATAAGTCACCCGAAGAGATATTGGCTGAAAAAGAATTTAATGCGGTCCCGCTTATGCTAGGAGTCACGAACAATGAATTTGGCTGGAATATTAGATCTGTAATTTAATGGCTATTCTTCATTTTTTTGCATGTTTGTGTTAACTGATGCAGGCAACTCTGAGAAGGTATTTGCTGGTAGGACACCTGCTAAGAAAGACCAAAAGGCTTTGCTTTGTTGGAAATATATACTAGGTAAACTTTGCTTGTATTTTTATTCCATAGTGACCCAGAACAAGCTGGTCACAAAGCAGTGAGACAGGCTTCATCCTGCAAAATAAACTACACGGACATCCTTGGAACATCCATTTTATACAGTACTTTTTAATCCTAAAATTTTAGTCCATGATCCAGGCAGAGAGAGGAAAAGCAATGCAACATTCAAGGGCTTATTGCTAAAAAACACCAAAACCAGTCCTGTCCCTCACAACACACAATGTTCAGGATTGATACACAGAATATTTTAAAATATGACATTGATCACCGTAAAAGCTTACCTGGATGTCATTATGAACTCTGACTGCTGGTTATATCTGTGTTCCTTGTTGGTGTGCTGAAATATCTATTGTTTGAAAATTTCATGTGGGGACAGAGTATGGGGATAATACAAGTGTCCAACTCATTCTCAGAGCATAAATTATTTCTGATACGAATTCTATGAGTAACTCAAAAGTGAGCAGTTGTACAAAACTGCATGAGGTGGATTTATGTCCTCTCTCTCCCTTGTGATCTCTTCTTCATTTCCTAAGTATTTATGTTTATCTATACAGTACAAAGCATTTGTTCTGAATCTGCATCTGTGTGTCTCAGAGTGTGCTGGTACGGAGTCCAGGAAGAAAAATGTAAACTGGAATCTATTCTAATTCACTTTGCAGACAGAAGAGTCATTCTCTGTAATGCCGCAAAAGAGGAGGAGCATTGCCTTATCAGTACTTCAGCAGGTTCAAACAACTGGACTAGAGACACAGAGGCTGCCAGTGACTGTTAAGATTTCCCCTACCAGAGGGAAAAAAAGCCTTTGAGACAGAAGAAGCTTTTTGCTCCTATTCTGCCCTAATGCTTTCTAGTCTGACAAGCTTCTCAATAATATGTTTTGATTTAAGGATAGACTAGTTGGTATGAGTAACTTATGTAGAAACCTTCATGAAGAAAACTATTACTGCAGTAAATACAAGCTTTTCAAGGCAGCTGCTGCATCGTACTGTATTTTTGCCTATAATATGATGCTTCAGAAATAAACAGAATCAAGTGCAATAATTTAGTTCCAATGTTAAAAATATTGGAGAAGTTGAACGGCGCTAATAACATACTTTTTTTTTTTTTATTGTCCAGACATCAAAAATACCTGGTTTGAAGGAAATAGGAGATAGAAAGTCAATTACTTCAACTGTAGAGTTGTTTCTGCCAATGATAGTAAGTACTGTCACACTGATATGAGAAGTAAAATTTCTTCTTAATGCATGTAACAGATTTGTGGAGTTTCGTGTTCTCTAATTTCCTGCTTGAGTTACAGTTTTACTAAGACTTGAGGTCATGTTGTGTTTTGAGGAGAGTCCCAGCAAAGTTAACAGGATTCAGGTGTATGAAGTTACACAGAAATAGGATTGAGTCAGGACTGGGGTTTGGAAAAACATCATTTTCCTTCTAGACCTCTGAATCAACATTTTTGTCTTATGTATTTGTATGTAGGATTAGTAATAGCGTCACTAATCTTAGAGTATCCAATGTCTCATCCTGGCTGATGGATTTTTGAATATGTTTACATTAAATTACATGCTACTTTTAAAGTAGTTACTTTGCACTCCTAGTTTTGAAATGTATCTTTCGAGCAGCAAATTCTAACACTAAAAACATAAGCTGTGTTTGGAGATTCTGTTGGTCTTGCCCTGTAGTTTAATATTCCATAAATCTTTCAAGGACTTTTGTTGTTGCCATCTCTTGTCTTCTGAAGAAAACAGAAGCCAAGAGTATTATCAGTAAAAGTTGCTGGATCTTTGATGATTCTTGTAGAGTTTTGACCCATATAAACCTGTTGCAAATTTGACCTCAGGTGGTTTCCTTGGTCTGTTTTTTTCTGGTGTTTTGGGGTTTTTTTCCCCACAAGAAGTCTAAATAGATTTTACTTGCCATCATGGTTTCCCATAAGCATGGGTGCTACCCATTTGTGCCTTTGTGGAACCTCTGAAGTTTAAAAGATGACATTTTTAGTTGCTAATTCAGAGAGTAATAATTTTTCTGTTTGTTCCATGTTTCACATTTTTCTTGTAGGATATACCATCAGAATTTCTGCCCATGATTGTGGATGAATATCTTGGAAACACAGATGATCCTGCTGAGCTACGGGACCAATTTCTGGACATGTTAGGGGATGTAGGAGTTGTCATGCCATCCATTAAAGCATTGAATTATCACAGGGGTGAGCTAATGAATGCCATTAGGAAATTCAGACCTCTGATACATGCTGGATGAAATGATGTAGACACAAATGCTGTCGTGTGCAGGCAGCCCTGCTTGACATTCCCACTGGGAAGTTGAGGGTGAAAAAGGATATGGGTCTGCAGGACTGTGCAAACAAGTGTATGTACTCCTTTATCTTTATACTAGTGTCTTGCACTTGTGCTTATAGTCACAACATATTGAGAACAGGGAATGATAACACAGGTAAATGTTTGTTAACTTGAAGGATACAGACTTAAAAATTAAAACATATTAAAGCAACCTGGAATTTGCCCTTTGGCCCACTGCTACTTGGGAACTCAGCAGCTCTGTAGTCTGGAGATTTTCTGGTATTTAAGTGTAGACAAACCATGCTAAAAGACCCAGAACTAGAAAATAATTTGGAGATTTTTTTTTCTCTGTAAGTTTTCCTGGAGTGAATCTTTCTCTTTTTTTTGATGTAAGTGCCGTGAGTTCTTAATTTTGAATTAAAGATAAAAATACATCTTTGAATGTAACATTACATTAAAAAATGTGCCCAGTATAAAGCTTTGGACGTATTTAAAGTATTATTTTAAACAGCTAATGTCAGCTGTAATTTATGTATCTCTTCTTTAACTCTTTAAATGTTACATCTTCTAGAGTCTGGAGCTCCTGCCTACTTCTTTGAATATCAGCACCGCCCCACTGCATACTGGGATAGTAAACCAGAATATGTGAAAGCAGATCATGGAGATGAAGTTGGCTTTGTCTTTGGAGGACCATATCTGGCTGGTGATATTCAGCTACGTAGTAAGGAACAGAACATTCCATGTCCACTTATAAGTTACTCTTCTAACACTGGCACTGTTCTGTTCAGTAGCGCTACTTCCATTTTAATCAGGCTAAAGTGCATGTATTAACAGTAAGACCAAAGTAAACCCTTTCTCCTGTTAGAATTTAATACTAATTTACTATCTTCTCCATTCTTTATGTTGTACAATTTGCTGTTCTTGAAGCGCAGTGAATTACACAGGCTGTCAACAATTTAGCAAGTAGGACATTTGCTAGAAAACATGACTGTGATTGTTCCTGAATTTGCCAAGTAGGTTTGGCTGAAAAATAAATTGAAGGACAGGTCAACTAAATTTGCAGGAGATTAGCAGAGCCCTTAGGAAGCAGGAAATCTAGGCTCTCTTTATTTTTTTTTTTCCTGAGGAATTTAAGCTAGTGTCTCTTCCTTTCCAGGAAATCCCACGGGCAAGGCTTGGAACTCCATTGTTTCGTTTTCTACATGAAGATCTAATAGTTAGGTTAAAGAATATTTTGTCAATAGTCTCAATATTTAAGCATTTTATTCAAAATGGATGGGGGTCCATTGAAGAAGGATTAAGGGTGCACTCATAAAATTGCCTTCACCCTGTCAGTTTGGGCTTTCTAATAGGATTCAGGAATTTCTGGTTCCTTCAGGCAGAATCCCATGTTGCTACAGTCCAAATAGCCATGACAGTCATGGCACAATTAGATACAAGATGCCCCATCTTCAGCAACATTCTGAATCCAGCAAATTGCTTTAATTGCATATACCTAAAACATTAATACTCAGGATGGAAAATTTTCTTTCCCATGAAAAAAATTAGGAGCAGTTCTTATTTTGACAAAGAAACACAGAAATTCTACTTACTTTAAGTGAAGTAACCATATTTTCTGCTTTTATTTTTGTCATTTGCACAGTTGTTCATAGTCTGTTTCACAACCTACAAAAATAAAAGTATTTCTCTTTACTCCATTGAACTTTGGAGCAATCTGGCTATGTTGTAAAAGCATTCGTTAATCTATTACTAGAGGCTTTTGATTTAATTTATATTTTATTTTTATTTTTTACTTGTGTTAGCCTACATGAGAAAACATTAGACAGTTCTTTTTCTATGTGCCTGAATTTACTGAGAAGACTAAAATAGCAAATATTTTTCTTGATGTATTAAGATGCATTTATAACTAATTATATACTGTAAGTAAAATTACTTTCATCGAGCTGATGCAGTGGCATATGGGTAACTATATTTAAATGAGTATTCTTGGAGTGTTGAAATATGTTGAGATATCATCTTGTGTGAGAATGAAGAAATCTCTGCTCATGCTCTGAATAACAGAGAGAGTTTCAGTCCCACAAAGCTGGAATAAGATCTATGAAACTAAACCGTGTGGCCTGTTTCTTGAGTTGCAATGAGACGCAGGACACATGAGTTCTTTTTTTAGTTCTGCTTCTGATTTCCTGAAAATCCACAGGCAGATCACCTTATTTCCTTATCCCCAAACTCAGCGATTTGTAGACCAAGGATAATGATGCTACTCACATTGATAAAGAGTGCTGAAATCTCTTGGTGGTTGCTGTATTACTGACATGTTGCAGGTGCGGTGCTTCTCTTGTCATCAGTAACGAGTTGTGGCAACATATTCACAGGCCGAAACGCTGCTTCTGCAGTAGCAATGTTTTGATTTCTGCCGCATGTAATAATTAATTTGTGTTTTGTCTCTCAGGTGAAGTTACAGAGGAAGAAAAGAACCTTAGTAGGACTCTAATGAAGTACTGGGCTAACTTTGCTCGAAATGGGTGAGATTTACCACACAAATTACTGTTCTGCACTGGCTCCGTAGTGAATTAGCTGTAGTGTCAGTCATCTGTGGCTGAACTCCCCTGCAGCTGAAAAGGGCATTCACTCTTTCTTTCTTGTTGTTTACAGAAATCCTAACGGAGAGGGTTTGGTTGAATGGCCATCTTACAACCTAAATGAGGAGTACTTAGAGATAAATCTAAACCAAAAGAAAGCCAGAAAATTGAAAGAGAAGAAGGTAGAGTTCTGGAAAAAGGTGATGTTTGAAAAGACAAAAAGCAAAAAAAAGGAAAACAAGAAGGTTAATACAGAGTTATAATTTACAATCTGAATATGCACATAATATGCAAACTATTAGGATATCAGAAGAAGTTACTTCAAGCAATTTTGAGGATAAAATTATGTTTCCTTTCTTTTCATGTTTTCTTCGGAGTTGTCATATTTGCAGTTATTTGCTGTAATAATTCCAACTGATCTGCTTCCCCTTTGTGATCTTTTTCCTGGATTTGTGTCTACAACAGAGACCTCACCTATTAAACAGAGGTACCACATTTCCCCACTGCTCAGGTTTTTCTGTCACCTCCTCATGACTGAATACAGAATGTAGCAGCAACATTGTTTCACTAAAAATTAAATCAATAAAGACCCGATTTGCAAGTAAAACTGTCTTTTGATGTCAAGAGTATCAGTGATGGTACAGAAGTTTTGGTCTGATTTAGATATAGAAATGTCCTCTGTGGAGAAAAAAACCCCAACACCAATCTGTAGAATGTTTTGCTTTGTAAGTCAGTTGTACAACAGAGCTAGTATACTTCTGACTGCTCTGTTACATCATCTGTAACAGCAGCAGACTTCCATCAAATGGTAGAACAGGGAGAAATGGTCTCTGTTACACACACTTCTTTCCTTTTAAATTTAGCAATAACTCCCCTACAAGGATCGATGTTGGTAATTTTATTTTCACATTTCCCGTCTCTTCTATGGTGCTTTACATTGTGCTGTTCTCTGTGCCATCACTCAGCTCCAGATCCTCTGTTTGCGCTGGGTCACAGCCTTTCGGTACTAGCACAGGAGAGATTGGTTTGTACCAGAAATATTCCAGTGCCTTTACCAGCTGATAGGTACTTGGACTGCCAAGAGCAAGTCTGGAACACTTCATTTCAGTGTTGTCAAGAGCTTCTTTCTCTGCTATGTCTTGTTTCCTGTATCTGGCTTCTAGGCTGCTCCAGCTGTTCCAGCCATCGTCCTGACCACGTGGTTCCTCACGGCAGCGCTGCACACTTCCACACACTGGGCATCATCTCCCCCCTTTTTTTCTCTGTATCTCTGGAAGAATTTAAGATGGTTCACAGCTAATAATGTCCTAGAGCAACTAACTGGCCATCCAATCTTTCTGAATTTCCTATGTCTTCCTGCCCAAATTCTGTTGCCAGGCAGAAGATGGCAGGTGAGGTTAGACTGTTAGCACAACTGCTGTTTTGGTAAACAGAACTCCTGCTAGGCATCTGTCCCTTCTCGTTTGTTTTTGCTGACATGTTTTGTGAGGTGAATATAATCTCAAAAACATAATCTCAAAATAGTCTTGATAGATTTTCATTGCATGTACAATTCCCCTGAGGTCCTGTACCACTCCCTTTGAAAGGAGATAAACAGGCACCATTGTATGTATATGCAAAAAATAGATGCTTATGTTGTAAGTGTATGCAGAGAAGTGCAGGGGAACTGACTTCTTATGCACAGGCACAGTGCTAAAAATAAATCACAGTTTCCGTTCACTGCATTTGACAGAGCATGTACCTATCAACACAGTATAGACTGTACCTTCGTAACCGTGCAAACTAATGCAGAGCAGTTTTATTGACCTCTAGTGCCATGAGCACTAGAAAAGTCTCCCAGAGAACATCTCTACAGCTATAAAGCTATACAGCAATTAGTTATTCTCCACATTATTTTCTTAGAAGCTCCAATTTCCAGTGTTATCCCATTTGCCAGTGCACACTGTGCACTAGTCATACACTCAGAAAGAGCTGGTGTGCACGCTGGTGTAGCACTGGTGTTGTTAAGAGTGTAGCTGCTGCAGCACGGAGCTCAGTACAGAGGGCAAGAGTCTCCTGATTAACAGCGCAAATGCGGAAGTTACTCAGCACACACTGAATGTGTACCTCTGAAGCTACCTGCCAACAGTTTTTTCTCTAAGAAGTCCAGTTTAAAGTCGACTAGAATTCATTTACAGGGGTTATAAATCACACTTGTGTACATACAGTTAGGAAGATTTGGAAAAAAGTACAAAAGCACAGCCATAGTACACAGGACTATGAGGTGAGTAATATATGTGCTGAACTGACGCAGTGACTGCGGATCTTTATGGCCCACTTATGTGAAAACAAAGGTGCAAGCAGTAATCTAGAGAAATGCTGTCTCTTACAACTGAGAATTCTCATAAAATCACAAAACAGTCTTTCTGCAGCAAGAGCTACTGAGCCTTGCAAAAATAACCAAACAACCAGAGGCTCGTAGAACTACTACAACCTCTTTGATAACATGGGCAGAAAAACTCTCTCTCTTCAGCCAACTCCTCCTGGTATAGCTATGACCTAAATTCTTTAACATTGTTCCTATGCTACGGAAGTTGATAAATCATCTCTTTAGTGTCTTTAGTGTTGCAAAACTCGTGTATTGTGTTAGACACCAAACAAACATCCTTGAGCACGCAGGACTAAGTAACAGGTGGAGTATCAACCCTGCAGGAAAATATAAGATTTTTCTAGTATTGTTTTTGTAAAAAAAATCCTTTTGTGAGAATAACAATCCCTCAACTTTTGCTTCAGCAAAAGCACATTTTTCAGGAGTATTGTTTTGGATTTTGCTCTATATTGTGTGTTCCTGATACACTGATACCAAAAAGAAGTCAACAGACACTATAAAGTAAAAGTGTAGCTCCCTTCTTCAGAGTGCGGTGCGAGGTGATCCGAAATTCCTTATGAAAGGTAGTGTTAGAGCAGCAGGATGAATTTCCTGGTGCAGTGGAAGACTGCTTTCAAAGCATTTTGAAGCACATAGTTGATGACTGATGTTTTGTGAGTGTGATTTTTAAGGAGCACGAGGGAGCTGGGATGAAATATATGGAGCCAGAATGAATTATAAGGGAAAAACTCTTCACCATGAGGGTGGTAAAGTGCTGGAACAGGTTGCCCAAAGATGTTGTAGATGCCCCATCCCTGGAAGTGTTCAAGGCCAGGCTGGATGGGGCTTTGAGCAGCCTGGTCTAGTGGGAGAGAGGTGTCCCTGCCAACAGCAGAGCGGTTGGAACTAGATGATCTTCAAGGTCTCTTCCAACCTCAACCGCTCTGTGGTTTTATGATTCTCTGAAACTTGCAGGGCTGCTCTGCGATTCAGGAGGTCTCCCTGAACCCACTCACAGCCGAGCTGCCCTGTGCTCCTACAGAGGAGGGGCTCTGGCTGCCCGCGGCTGGGTTGGCTCTCTGTTGCTTTTCCTACTCAATGTTTGCCTTGCGTCACAGTTCTAGTTTAGAGAGTACATAAAGCAACACACCAAGGAAGTAAATATGTGACTAGCTTGCAAAATGGGAGCTGGGAAGGACACCTTGCTGCTGTCCTTGATTCTCACTGTCAGGGTCACAACGCTTGCAGCCACTGGTAAGCTGGAATTTGGTATTGAGAACTTTCATGCCAATCTTAAAATTGACCTTACCTGAATGTTAACAGTATTTGTATATGGTAGGCTATTTTCCAGTACATTAGAAGTTTTTTTCTTTTGGCTGTACACACTATCAAGAGTTTGGATTATATTTTGTGTGTTCACAGATCTTTTCCTAAAAAATAAATGCCTATTCTTAATTAGAACACTCTGTTGGACTTTCAGCTAACGACCTGGATCAAAAAGGATTAAGATTTCTATGCAATCACTAATGTGTGTGTATAGTAAGACAATATGTATGATATACCTGAGGGAGACTATGTGTGAAAATGAATTGTTTAAGCAAACAGAGGTGTGTGCTTAAGTAGCTAAAGCTCTTGGAAATCTGACAAGTGCTTACAAACAGACCAATGCTTTTGTACTCGCATTCCCCAGGACAAACAGCAGAGCAACCAGAAGTGGTGACCAAATACGGGAGAGTCCGAGGCTACCAATTCAAAGTAGATGCAGCTGAGAGGAGTGTAAATGTCTTTTTGGGACTTCCTTTCGCTAAGCCTCCAGTTGGACCACTGAGGTTTTCTGAACCCGAGCCACCAGAGCCATGGAAAGGGGTCAGAGACGCCACTTCCTACCCACCAATGTAAGACTGACAAAACCGTTCATATTTCCAATAATTTTGTATTATATGCAATTTCAGGACAATCAAAAGCCACAAAGATAAACTCCTTGGTGCCATCTCATTACCACCTGCCACTCTTACATTGAGAAACTAATTCATTTAGAAATCAATTAATTTCTAAAGACATCTTTACAAGCTGCTCTTTTACTAAAAATGGCTATCTAATGGGTATCAGTGATGAGCTAATGTGGGCCAGCACTTTGCCAATAAAGTTCTGGTTTGGGAGCATTTGTCCATTACTTAGGAATGTTTATAAACTGTGTAGCTTTGGAGCAGAAACAGAAAGAAGTTGAGGAAATGTTAGAATAAAATATTAGACTTAAAAATCCTTAATCGAACAAAAAGTAAACACAGACCAATTCTTGTCTGTATTGTAAATGTCTTACTCCATTTGTACTACTGCCCTTGTTCAGTGCCTCAAGCCCAGTACCATTACAGTATCAAAAGCTACCATATATGTAAAATAATTAATATGCATTTTCATTGAAGTAATTTATAGACATAGGTATTTATGGGTATATTTCTTCATATTTTGAAACATGTAAAATTACATCAGCACGTCACTGTACTGCTATAGACTGTGGCTTCTTTTTACTGATCTCCTTAATGCCAAGTTAAAGGAAGAAAAAAAAATGTACGTTTTCTGTTGCCAGCTATCTAGAAATGTACTAGCAATTGGTTTCTGCTTTGCACTTTGTTGTGGAAGTACAAAAAAGCTACACTTTGTAGCTTTGAAGTTTTAATTATTTCTGTTGTTTTCTCGTTTCTTCAGGTGTCTACAAGGAAAACTAGACGGACAGTTTTTAAAGGACATTTTTAGCATAAGAAAAGAAAAAATTCTTCTCCAAATGTCTGAAGATTGCTTATATCTAAATGTGTATACACCCATTTCTACAGAGAAACAGGAGAAGCTGCCTGTAAGCAAAATCATTATAAAATCTCAAGAAAAAATATTTTACAGCAAACCTACAACCTGTGCTAT